ATATGACCGAACCTAACCAACCCTACCTAACCTAACCTAACCTATCTTTATAGGTTAGGTTAAGTTAGGTAGCAGAAAAAGTTAGGTTAGGTTAGGTTAGGTAGTCGAAAAAACATTAATTCATGAAAACTTGGCTTATTAGGCAAATCGGGCCTTGCATAGTAGGCTGAGAAGTGCGTTCTGGCTACTAGGTACGACATATATATATATGTATGTCGACATATATATATATATATATGGGAACTCTGTCGACATATATATATATGTATGTCGTACCTAGTAGCCAGAACGCTCTTCTCAGCCTACTATGCAAGGCCCGATTTGCCTAATAAGCCAAGTTTTCATGAATTAATGTTTTTTCGACTACCTAACCTAACCTATAAAGATAAGTTAGGTTAGGTTAGGTAGGGTTGGTTAGGTTCGGTCATATATCTACGTTAATTTTAACTCTAATAAAAAAAATTGACCTCATAATGAAATGGGTAGCTTTATCATTTCATAAGAAAAAAATTAGAGAAAATATATTAATTCAGGAAAACTTGGCTTATTAGGCAAATCGGGCCTTACATAGTAGGCCGAGAAGTGCGTTCTGGCTACTAGGTACGACATATATATATATATTCATGGAGGTATGGAGGAGGTATATATACATAGAGGTTATATCTGTATGTATACATACATATACATGTGTGTAAATCACGAAAAATAAACATGTGATTAAAAATGTGAGTGTCAGACCACGGAGGAAAATTGAAACGAATTTCCTTAAGTACTTTCGTATATTAATACATCTTCAGAAGGAGTGTGGTCTGACACTGTCACATATATACATATATATACATGAGCTGGAGGAGCTCTACAACTTGTGTCAAGTAGCCTTGTACCCTGCATGTAACCAATGTTGTAACCTTTTTTATGTAATGATTTTTTCAAATAAAGTTAAAGTTATGTTGAATATGACAGAAAGGGTAAGAATAATGATCTTTACATGAATCTTCTCAATATATTGCTCTTGCTGTTTATTTGTTGATTCGGGGTCTTGAAGTGGGTAGAATATAGTTATGTGTTAATTGGCTGTTGATTGCTAGTGTTGACTTTTTGATGTGTAGTGCCTCGCAGATGTCAAGTCTCTTGTTATCGTTGTATCTATCGAAGATTTCTGTGTTGCTTGTAAAGATGTCTCTGGTAATTACCTAAGTGTAGTTACAGGATGAGAGCTACGCTCGTGGTGTCCCATCTCCCCAGCACTGTCTTTGTCTCCCCAGTACTCAACCGTCAGTAATTTCAAATGCTTTGAAATTACTGACGGTTTTGGCCTCCACCACCTTCTCACTTAACTTGTTCCAACCGTCTGCCACTCTGTTTACAAAAGTGAATTTTCGTATATTTCTCCGGCAGCTTTGTTTCGTTAGTTTAAATCTATGACCTCTTGTTCTTGAAGTTCCCGGTCTCGAATTCTTCCCTATCAATTTTATCGATTCCTGTTACTATTTTGAACGTAGTGATCATATCGCCTCTTTTTCTTCTATCTTTAAATTTTTGTATATTTAATGCCTCTAACCTCTTGTCCTTCAGTTCTGGGAGCCACTTAGTGGCATGTCGTTGCACCTTTTCCAGTTTGTTGATGTGCTTCTTAAGATATGGGCACCATACAACCGCTGCATATTCCAGCTTTGGTCTAATAAAAGTCGTGAGCAATTTCTTTAGTATTTCTCCATGTATTTAAAAGCAATTCTGAGGTTAGAAAGTGTAGCATAGGCTCCTCGCACAAAGTTCTTAATGTGGTCTTCAGGTGACAGTTTTCTGTCTAGAACCACCCCTAGATCCCTTCCTTTGTCAAAATTCTTTAAAGATTTCTCACATAATTTATAGGTTGTGTGGGGTCTATGTTCTCCAATTCCACTTTCCATAACATGGCATTTATTCACATTAAATTCCATTTGCCAAGTGTTGCTCCATATACTTATTTTGTCCAGGTCTTCTTGAAGGGCATGACAATCATCTAGGTTTATCTTCCCTATTATCTTAGCATCATCAGCAAACATGTTCATGTAATTCTGTATTCCCACTGGTAGATCGTTTATGTAGACAATGAACATTACTGGTGCAAGAACTGAACCCTGTGGTACTCCACTCGTGACATTCCTCCAATCCGATACCTTGCCTCTGATTACGGCCCTCATTTTTCTGTCAGTTAGGAAATTTTTCATCCATGTTAGTAGCGTACCTGTCACTCCTCCAATATGTTCCAGTTTCCAGAACAACCTCTTATGGGGAACTCTGTCGAAAGCCTTTTTTTAGGTCCAGATAGATGCAGTCAACCCAACCATCTCTTTCCTGTAAAATCTCTGTGGCTCGATCATAGAAACTGAGTAAGTTCATTACACAGGATCTTCCAGATCGAAAATCATACTGTCTGTCTGATATTATATCGTTTTCCTCCAGGTGTTCTACCCATTTAGTTTTATTTTTTTTTTTTTGGCAATATTTTGACTATTACACTTGTCAATGATACAGGTCTATAATTAAGGGGGTCTTCCCTGCTTCCACTTTTATAGATTGGAACTACGTTAGCCTTTTTCCACACATCAGCTACAACTCCTGTACACAGGAATGCATGAAAAATCAGTTTAAGTGGAATGCTGAGCTCAGGTGCACATTCTCTCAGAACCCATGGTGAAACTCCATCTGGACCAATTGCTTTGTTCTTACTTAGCTCCTTCAGCATTTTTTCCACTTCGTCTCTAGACACCTCTATGTGCTCTATGTTGTTCTCTGGAATTCTTATTGTGTCTGGTTTCCTAAAGATTTCATTTTGTACAAACACACTTTGGAACGTTTCGTTTAGTGTTTCACACATTTCCTTTTCATTTTCCGTGAATCTATTTCCCATTTTCAACCTCTGAATATTATCCTTTACCTGCAATTTGTTGTTTATGAATTTATAGAATAGACCTGGTTCTGTTTTACATTTGTCTGCAATCCCTTTTTCAAAATTTCTTTCTGCCTCTCTCCTCACTGCCGTGTAGTTGTTTCTCGCATCTTTGTATCGCTGGTATGTTTGGGGGTTTGGCCTCTTTCTGTATTGATTCCATTTTTGTGTCTTTGGGTCTCTGGCCCTCTCGCAATTTCTACTGAACCAATCCTGTTTCCTAGTTCTGCATCTCTGTTTTGGTATAAATTTTTTTGTGCCTTTATCATATATTTCACAAAACTTGACATACATCTCATTCACTTCCTTGCCTAGCATCAAGTCTGTCCAATTATACTCACTGAACAAATTTCTAAGGTCGCCATAATGTCCTCTCCTGAAGTCAGGTTTTTCAACTGCTTCAACCTCCTTATTTTCTTCCAGATTATAACGCATTGCATACTTTACTCCCAGAAAGACATGGTCACTTTTACCCAAGGGAGGAAGGTACTGAATGTCAAATATCTCTTCCTCCTTCCTGGTAAATATCAAATCTAGCATGGAGGGAACGTCCCCTTCCCTCATCCTCGTAGCTTGTTTAACATGTTGATACAAGAATGTTTCCAGGATGAGGTCTACGTATCTACAGGTCCAAAAATCTTCTGTTTTAGCTTCATATGCTTCCCAGTCTATGGATTTCAAGCTGAAGTCACCGATTATCAACAGTCGTGATCTATCGTTATCCGCTCTCGCTGTGATCTCTCTCATTATTGTTATGAGACCTCCTCGTTTACTATCTAGCTTCTCCTTTGACCATGTGCTGCTTGGCGGTGGACTATATGCATTTATGATCATTAGTTTATCATCCTCATGGCAGATCTCTAGTGCTATTATATCAACTTCTTGTGGATTGACAGTCATTATTTCCTTCACCTTTAGTGATGGTGATGGTTTGGTTGTGTGAGGAGAGTATACGTTCCTTGATGGAGCCCGGTTGTTTGTGAATTGTTAATCGCCTAGAAAGAGATGTTGTTGTCTTGCCTATATACAGAGATGTTTAGGGCTGACAGTCCCCAAGTGGGCATGTGATTCTTTTAGGCGTCAGGCCATAAATAAAAATGCGAAAAAGAACTTTTGGAGAGTTAATTTTTCAATTACCCCAGACAGTGAAGAAAAACGTAAGAAATATTGAGAAGAATTGTGTTAGAATCATTAATCGTACCCTTTTGGTCATATTCAACAACATATATTTACAAGAAAGATTTCCTTAAGTACTTCTGAATACATATTATTAAATATGAAAGTACTTAAGGAAATTCGAGTTTCAATTCTTCCTTCGTGGTCATTTTTCATCACATTTTATATATATATATATATATATATATATATATATATATATATATATATATATATATATATATATATAAATATATAAATATATATATATATATATATATATATATATATATAATCATGGTTCATTAAAATAATGCCTTACATAAAATGTTTAATAAATACTTACCATAATATCTTCCTAATCAACTTATTTTATGGGAATATTCCAAGTAAAATATCATTACTGACGTGAATGGACAACCTACTTTATGATGCCAATAACACTTTTTTACTATTTTGTGTTATATTTTGCCGTGGAAGTGTAACAGAGTAGAAGCAATGTTTTCCAATATTATGGCCAGGGTTTATAATAGGGAAAAGTATGCTTTTAGGGAGACAAGGCCAGACTCCAGTATATACTGAGGTGGAACATGCTGTCGCAGGAGTATGGGAACTGCTGTGATATACTATTTGCTTTTCAGTTATATGGAAAGGTACATCATGGGTTATACCTCTTTCTGTCGTCTACGGGAGTCAGTTGTCCGTGAGCAATGTCAGTAAACTGTTCCACTTCTCCCACCATCCATTAATCTCACTATCTATATACATATTTTACTAATCCTCCATCTATTTAGAGTTTTCCATTCCTTCTCATCTCATTACACAAAATATTACCAAACTTCACGTAATTATTTTTAATGAACTTCGAACAAAAAAATGACCCGCATTAGTTAGAGTAGCAAATTATACTCACAGCAACTTCAACAAGAAAACCGCTGCAGCATTGTCTATCAGTGCTATTTCTTCATCCCAGAGTTTATCCAGCTCATCTAATACGGAGTCCAGATTTGCTTCAGTTCTTTCCTGAAAGTAAGCAAGTAATTATCAAAATAAGGCACAAAGCGTGGAAGGCTTTGTAGCACCATCAAATGTGGGGGATATTCAAAAGGCACTAAATATCATTAAGGATGCCAATACGAGAACAAAAGAGCACAGGTCCATCAATATCAAAAGTATCTGATTCACCAAGGATTCTATCTAGGGACAAGAGAGAGTGAGGGACGGTCGGGAAGCAAGACACATCACGACCGTAAGAGGGACAATGCAGTTTGGACAATAAGGAACAGGGCAGTGCTCCATTAAATGCCCATGGTATGGCCCAGACGTAACCCCACCAGAGTCATTTCCCACCGTCGGTTTTGGTGGTAATGAGGGTGGGTGAGGGGGAAGAAAAGAATAGCCACAAAAGTGACCAGGACGAGTACCAAGCCTCGGTTCCTGGAGACAAAGAAAGTAGTGAAAACTGTGTAATCAAAAGATGGAGTTCATGGAAGTTGGCATAAAATCCATGAATATTCCATTGAAGAATAAACATTATGAAAAAAGATAAAAAACATCAAGAGAGAACAATGAAGAAACAAAGGTAAAGAAGAACACAGTATATTAAAGAAGCTCAGGATCAGTAAAATCAAGGTTACGGGGCATGGGTAAACTGAGAAAGGATTGAGTGAAGGGAGCGGGAAGACAGACCAGAGGCGGACAGGTAGGGTCCGGCGGAGGAGGAGACAACTGAGAGGGGAGGTCAAGGACAGCAGGCGGGGGTGGGGGGGGGGGGCAAAACCGGGGAGTGCACCTCAGCAAGGGCAATAACTGAGAAGGAATCGCAGGTTAAAGAAACGTCCTTAGCTGGGACGGGGCCCGACCACTGAAATGGAAGGGGACGGAGCTAGAGAGTCAGAGGTGGGGGTGAGGAAGAAAGCAATGCCTTCTTAACTGCCGGGGAGGACGAAAGAGAGGAGCCAGACTATGATTCTGACTCAAAGAGACAGGTGTTCTAGCATCAACGCACTGGGCGACAGACTCAAGAGTCTCAACAGAAGATGAACGGGAGTGAACAAAAACAAAGTACCTACAGGCTCACCTTAGCCCGTGCTACTTGAAACTGTTTGTTCCAAGTACCGAATCTTTAACAACAACAGTGAACAAAATGAAGATTGCTGGGAGGGACACGGACATCAGCCTGGACAGACAGGCAGAATGGAGGGCCAAGAGACAGGGGGGAGGGATTGGAAGGATTGGGGAAAGAAGGGAAAGAAGACACAGGAGACATGGCAGACCAGGTAGGAAGAGGGGAAACTTCAGATGGAGTACCAGAAGAGGGCCCCTTCGGGGCAGAACGTAAAGGAACAAGGGAGGAGGTGGTGGGCGTGTCCGGGTCCAAGATCTAGAAACGGTTGTGAGACTGAGTAAGGTGAGAAGAACGAGGAGAGGTAAAACGCAACATGCGAGCATAGGATATGCCAGCGAAAGGGGCGAGACGGTGAACTTGGCGTCTCCCTTCAGGAAAAGGCAGACAATCCCAGTGTTTCAAGTTGAGAACGGCTTCCTCAAGTTTGTAGTGTATACACGAGCGGGAGAAGGTAGGGTGGGTCTCACCGCAATTGAGAAAGCGAGCCTGGGGAGAAGTGCACTCGGATTTAGAGCGATCATCGGCCCCACAGATGGAGAATAGATACATAGTATTTGAGCATTTGAGGACACCATGCCCGAACTTCCAGCACGTATTGCAATGTCTAGGAGAGGGAATGTACTCCTGAATGGAGCATCTGATACTACCAGCAAGAATTATAGAGGGTGGAAGGGTCCTACTATCAAATGTGATTTTCACAACTCGAAGGTGCTGACGGCGACGACCACTAGGGGGGATGAGTGAACGTGTCCACCTGGAGGACAGGATGGCCTTGGGCTTCGAGGATATGTTTAATATCCTCATGGCAGTCTTTTAGGTCCCTAACACCAGTTGCAACATGGTGCAGGAGAACAGTGCCAACACTGGCATTTAACCGTGCGTTTTTGTAGACTCAAACAGGGGTCTCCCCAATGCAGGACAATGCGGCTAAGCGGGTAGCTGCATCCGGTGAAGGAGCCGCGACGAAACGTGTACCTAAACCAACCCGTTCTCGCAAATTCGTAAAGTCAATATTGACTTATTAACTACGTGCATAGGTGATATACTAAACGTAATAGATACCCCTAAAAAGATTCATAGAAAACACCGACCTTACCTAACCTTGTTAGTATCTTAAGATAAGCATCTTATTGCTTCGTAATTACAATTATTACTTAACCTATACCTATTATAGGTTTGGTAATAATTGTAATTACGAAGCAATAAGATGCTTATCTTAAGATACTAACAAGGTTAGGTAAGGTCGGTGTTTTCTATGAATCTTTTTAAGGGTATCTATTATGTTAAGTATGTCACCTATGCACATATTTAATAAGTCAATATTGACTTATTAAATTTGCGAGAACGGGTTGACCTAAACAGGTGGAGTTAAAAGTAACAGAGGCATCCACCGAATTAACAAGGTGTTTATGAAGTGATAAATCGACAGGTGTAGAATCCAGAGGGAGGAGATCAAAGTATTTAGCCCACGAAGCGGGACCAAACAAGGCTTGGTATGTATTAGTATGGGAAGAGATCGCGTAAGTGCGGCCGTGGCGGGAACAGCATTGGGAACCCCCAGAGAGAGGGAAGGGGGGGGGGGTTAAAAGGTGAAGTAGTCACAATGAGAGACTGAGCCGCGCCAGGGGGTGAGGTAGTTTTCTGGGGGCAGATAGCTCAACTCAACCACAGAGGAGGGAGGGAGTAGTCAGGAGGGTCAAAGGAGGAGCTAGGTCTGCTCCCAAAGTAGCAGGGACTATAGCCTGGTCTGTCCAACACAGTCCGACTCGGGGGCTTGGTCGCCCACCCCACGAGCCTGAGAAGTCATAAGAGGAACGGTATTTATCGACATGAAAACGAGAGGTAAGACTTTCATTCACGAATGTGCCCCCATACTCACCACGGAGTCACAATTAGAGGATAGGATACCCAACAAGAGATTTATTGCCGATCTTGCCGAGGCCCCCCCAGGGGTGCGTCGTGAGTATTCGCCCTGCAAACACCACCTTAAGAACCGCCAGTCCGTTGAGATCGGTTTCAGTGACAAAAGGAGGATTTACAATGAAAGGGTCCCCTCGCTCGAGAAGTTGGGTAGTACAGTTCTACGGGTGCAAGAATATGCCTCCTCAAACACCCGGGCGTCAAAACAAAAGAAGGCAGAAAGAATGATAAACACAGGCAAAAGTTCGGCGGGAGATGACAATTTGAAAGAAGAGGGGGAAGAAATATTAAACACGAGGGAAAGGAAAAGATGTCTGGCACAATTGGTAAAGACAGTAGCAGGAGCATAAGGCTTAACAAGGACAGAGGACTGACCCATGGAGCATCACACTCCGGCAGCCGCTCACAAAGCCCCCTTCACGGCGACAACGGGCCAGACAGAGAGGTGGTATGCTCCGAAAAACTTTCTTATTTGTATTAAGAGCTCTGAAGTTTTACTTTCCCGAGTGACACAGAATGAAGAAGAAATGAACATATGAATTAAGGAGTTGTGCAGCAAGGTTGTTGGCCCATACAAGACGGTCTATTTACTACTACGCTTCTCACTCATCAAACTTACTGTTCCCTCCTCTTATGCTGCATTCATCCACAACCTAGTCCTTAACGGCTACATAACTATATACTAAACAGTATTTATGTAGTTTGTACCCAGTTTTGTGGTACTTTCCTTAATGCTTGTAAACAGTCTTTATTTTAACTTGTACCCAGTTTTGTGGGTACTTTCCTATATACTAAACAGTACTTATCTAGCTTGTACCCAGTTTTGTGAGTACTTTCCTATATACTTGCTAAACAGTATTTATCTAGTTTGTATCCAGTCTTGTGGGTACTGACCTGCTATGACTTTCACAACCCTGTTATCATCTCCCTTGTTCTTGTGAATACCTCGATAATATCCTGGCCTTGTCCTGCCTACTCCAGCGAGTGAAATGAGTCATTAATCTGTCCAATCAGGAGGATGGCAACCACAAGTGTAGTCCAAGGTGAGCCTCGTCAGTGTTGGACATAACTGAAGGATGACGTTGTATGTTGCTGATTCTTACTATAAATCCCAGCACCCTGTCTGCTTATTTCCTTCATTAATATAATGCTGCTTCGGCCTTGCTAACCATATCTCTTAGGGTATGTCTATGACTGTATTGTATGTAAAGTATACAGCAGCATTGTCTTTCCATAGGTAAAGTAATTTACAATTCTCAAGAAACTACTTTTGTTATTTTTAGTGTCAGTGCTAAACTCTATGGAGTCCCTCTGCAGTTCTTGCAAGTGTTCTCTTGCATTCACTACACACCCCATCTTTGTCACGAACAATCTTGCTTACTTTACGTCTCACTCTAGTATCCAGGTCGTTGAGGCAAATTATGCAAGTCTTCGATCATTTCCAGGCGTTCCTTTGCCCCCTAATTACCCGTGTTTAATGTCCAGTGTCCCCCCCAGAGGTTAAAGTCTCCGTTCCGAGGTCATTACCAGGTGTGAAGGGTGAATCGGGCGGTAAATGTGGCAAATAATAGCGCAGGTGTCCTCAGGCCAGCTCAGCATGGACAGAAATCTCCCATAGAGCTAAATAATCATCGCCTGGGAATCCCCAACCACCAATATCCTCCTACCTTCTATAAACACTTTTCCTACGTGCTCACTTCCCGTAGAGTTCTCCTTGTACAAAACTGAAAAGGGGTACGAAGTGTCAACTATTTCTTTATGTTTATGATGCCATCCTTCATTGTGGGCCAGGTTCCCCCCTATTGTCCGGGACTTTCCAGCCATCCTTCTGGATACTATCCTCCCTCATATTGTCAGTCTATGACCTCGGGCCGGAGGTGAGGTAATGACGTAAACCCTTATTTATAAGAGTAATTCACCAGCTACACACTGATACGCATCCACCCTTGACAAGACCACTCCCATCCACCCCTTGATAACGACACAGATGTGTGAACCCTTGGCAAAGAGCACTCACATCCACCATTGATAATGACACTGAGACCCGTACACCCTTTACAAGAGCACTTGCATCCACCCTTGATAAGGACAATGGGAGGCATCCTCCTGTGACAACCAGCAACCTATGTTCCTCTTTAAGTAGGACTGGCTCCTCCTGCGAAAATCTCTTAACTCCTTGCAAGTGGGTTTGATTGTCCATAGTATTTTTACCAAGATGTCTCGGTTGCACCAAGAGTTATGTACCCGGATGTCCGGGTGGGGAGCGGGTGGGTAGGGTTAGTCAATACTAGCCCTGGGGGTGGAAGAGGTGGGTGTACTATCTGGTGAAATACTCGTGGTTATTAGTAAAGTGGTGGTGGGCAGTGATGATGGCAAACTCCAGTAAGTGAAATATGTATTTTTTGTTCTCTATCTCTTATTTAATTACTACAACACTAACTTACCTAGTCATATAGTGATAGACGACTATTTATTTCACTAATACTAACTACCAATACTCATTAAACATCTTTAAATTGTATCTGTTGCAATGTAACTAATTCTCTATATCTCCATTTACTATTTAGTTTGTTATTCCTCTTATCTTCACTTTATACGTTACATATAGTGAAACATCCTACCTTCTAAAATCATTTCTACTTTCACTGAACGATACTTTCTGTCATTTTTATATGTACAAACTATTTTGATACTTACACGATCTATTTTTATTTTTCTTCCATTTTCATTTCACTCACTTGCAACATCATCCTCTTACACCAACACCATGCAAGAGCCTGACAATGCAACACTGCATGCAAGCAATGTTGCACAAGATGGCCACGCATGGTCGTAGGCGTCATTTACACTACTACTGACACGAAATTACTGATTCCCAAGACTTTAAAACACCTGTATAAAAAAAACTATGATTTGTTCAGATCTGAAACTTAAGTTTATGTCCAGCACAAAACGTCCACCAGACTGCACAAGACTCTACAACACAGTTGGTGCCAGGATCATGTTGGGTTACTGTTACCTGTGGCAGGTGGCTACAGGTGATGGATCTCCCAATTCTGAGCACTCTAGGTGCAAATACAGAGCAGGAACTGCGGCATGATCTTGCACACTACATCGCCGAATGTCCAGTTATCAGACCATTCAGATCCACTGGCATGAGGTACCTGGAGCTTTGCAATTTCATTCACTCTTGTGTTTTGAAGATATCCTCATAATACACCCAAAATTTGCCAGTGCAGGCTATTGAACATATGGCCCTGCATGACTAACCATCCTGCGAGATGGAGAGTTTTATTATCACTGCTATCTTATTCACTCTTGTGTTCATGTTGATATCCTCATAACGCACCCAGAGTTTGCCTGTGCAGACTACTTATCATATGCCTTTGTATGACTCACCATCCTGTGTGATTGGGATTTGTAGCATCATGTAGCTAGTGTTTTGACACACATTGTACTCTCCCTTCATATAGTCTAGGGCAACTGCACAATGTACATGTACCTAAATGTGGTAACACAAAAAAATTACTGATGTTGAGTCAACGTTGAATACATTGATTCAATGTCGATAATGTCGATTCAGTGCTACTCAAGCAGGTTTTACCCATTGCGAGAAAAAATGGGAAGAAGAATGGGAGAGGGAGGGAGAATCGGAGGTAGAATGGAAGAGGAGGGACACTGATGCAGGGAGGAAAATTGGAAGAGCTAGGTAGATTGGAAGAGAGAAGGAGAATGCGAAGGAGACTAGGGTAGAAAGGGAGGTTGAATGAGAAAGTGAGGGAGAGGGAGGTAGAGTGACACAAACGAACAGAGACCTGGCCACTGATCGGCAGCCCGTCCTCTTACAAATTACGTTGCTTTTTGCTTGTATGCGTCATGGTAAAAATTTACCGTATTGAAACTTTCAAATATGAAAATTAATTTTCCAATTGAAATGGATCCAAAGCAGCAAACTTTGGGTCCTTCGGTAGGTTATGAGAGCAGCAAGTTCTCCTAAAGTTTCAAAACGTCATGAAAACCGTTAATTTAACGTGTCCCTCCTAACCCAACAAACTAGGACAGGTAAATAGTAAGAGGACGGGCTGCAGTAACTCCTCCTGGAAGATAAAATGCAGGAAGTAAGGAACCAACTGTGAAATACCTGTTATCAAAAACTTAAAAGTTAGATAAAATATATTTTATTTAAAAACAGTGTGTAAAGTTCCTTTTTAAATATAGAGAGAAAAACAATGTTAATATTTACTCACCTCTTGCCCCGGTTTGTTTACCTTCATTTTCTCACTGCAATACAGATAAATATTTGTTAAGAGATTAATTATCAGAATATGAACTTTTAAACTGTGCATACAAATAGTTGACTTGATTGTAACAGTGATGTCATTAAGTGCTGGAAAGTGTTGTTATGAGAATATCTCAAACACTGACACCAACACCAATTATTAAGGAACATTAAAGCTGCAGTACATCACAAGGTCTGGCATAATTCTCCTTCAGTGGCTACAATTATGTTTGGTTTACATTGTAAATACATGACATAGATACAAGTCTACATTTTGCGAATACTTTTGTAGGAAATGGAATTAGGGAAGCTCTAGAGGTTACATAATTCCATGTTTCTTCAGTGAAGAACTTCATAGTTTTTAATAGTACTGAAACTTTTAATGAGAGGTTTCTGAGATTGAATAGATGAACGCTATTCCTGAGATTGATACCATGATGGGGGCTGTTCTTGATTGATTACCATGATAGAAGCTGTTCCCGAGATTGACTACTATGATGGAGGCTCTTTCTACAATTTACTAAGATGATAGAGGCTGATCCTAAGCTTAACTACCACCATGTAGGTTAATCCTAAGCTTAACTACAACGATGGAGTTTACTCCTAAGATTGACTGCTATGAAGAAGGCTCTTCCTAAGATTGACTAACATGATGGAGACTGCATTTTATTACCATGATGGAGCCAAGTTTAACTACAATAGAGGTTGTTTCTTAGAATGACTACCATGATGGCGTTTATTCCTAAAATTGACTACCATGATGAAAGCTGTACCTAAGATTGACTACCATGATGAAAATCCACTAGAGAAATGAGGTAACAAGCCAGCGATTAACGAACTTTGAGCCACGGAGATTGGCTCCGAGAATGGAGAGTAGTCATCAATCAGTGGAGATTAACTACACCAGTGATGACCTGGTGTAAGTTATAATACCTTGGGCTCCACTGAGTGTTGTGGCCACAGTGGAGACTGACTACACGCTGACCAAAGAAATGTTGCAGATCTTCTTCATGTCTGAATTTGTTTACCAGACTCGTATTGACGCATCACCGACACAAATAGGAAAAGAGAAGTAACGCTTTTTTGCACTATCGGGATTGTTTATCTAAACCTTCTAAGAATTGTAGCATTGAGGTAATGTTATGAAATAATGGATAGAAATAATGTTGTATTGTGTATTACTCCTAAAAAATTGAGAAAATGTAAACGGCTGATTGAGGGAGATTTTGCACATCTTACTCTTCAACAACCAACTTCAAATATTTTTATCAAAAAACGTTAGCTACGCTTGAATCTGCAGCACCTTAAATTTGATCAATAAATATTAGTTACACACAAGGCTGCGGACGTATGTTATCAAATCAATAAATTTGTCACGCACGAGCCTGCAGCAGCGTAAATGTTATAAAAAAAATATTAGTTACGCACGAGGCTACAGAAGAGCAAACGTTAGCAATATATATTAGTTACACACGAGGCTACAGAAGAGCAAACGTTAGCAATATATATTAGTTACGCACGAGGCTACAGAAGAGCAAACGTTAGCAATATATATTAGTTACACACGAGGCTACAGAAGAGCAAACGTTAGCAATATATATTAGTTACACACGAGGCTACAGAAGAGCAAACGTTAGCAATATATATTAGTTACACACGAGGCTACAGAAGAGCAAACGTTAGCAATATATATTAGTTACACACGAGGCTACAGAAGAGCAAACGTTAGCAATATATATTAGTTACACACGAGGCTACAGAAGAGCAAACGTTAGCAATATATATTAGTTACACACGAGGCTACAGAAGAGCAAATGTTAGCAATATATATTAGTTACACACGAGGCTACAGAAGAGCAAACGTTAGCAATATATATTAGTTACACACGAGGCTACAGAAGAGCAAACGTTAGCAATAAATATTAGTTACGCACAGGGTTGCAGCAGCGTTAATGTTAGCAATATATATATTAGTTATGCATGAGGCTACATTAGTTATCTTGAGATGATTTCGGGGCATTTTGTGTCCCCGAAATCAGTGTTTAGTGTCGGCCCGGTCCTCGACCATGCCTTCACCCCTAGGAAGCTGCCCCTGACAGGTGACTAACACCCAGGTACCTATTTTAATGCTAGGTAACAGGGGGCATAGGGTGAAAGAAACTCTCCCCATTGTTTCTCGCCGGCGCCTTGGATCGAACCCAGGAAAACAGGATCACAAGCGCAGCGTGCTGTCCGCTCGGCCGACCGGCTCCCTAAATGTAAATGCAAGTGAGTAAATGTTAGCAATAAATATCAGTTACGCACAGGGTTGCAGCAGCGTTAATGTTATCAATAATATTAGTTACGCAGGAGGCTGTAGCAGCGTAAATGTTATCAATAATATTAGTTACGCACGAGGCTGCAGCAGCGTAAATGTTATTAATAATATTAGTTACGCACGAGGCTGCAGCAGCGTAAATGTTATCAATAATATTAGTTACGCACGAGGCTGCAGCAGCGTAAATGTTATCAATAATATTAGTTACGCACGAGGCTGCAGCAGCGTAAATGTTATCAATAATATTAGTTACGCACGAGGCTGCAGCAGCGTAAATGTTATTAATAATATTAGTTACGCACGAGGCTGCAGCAGCGTAAATGTTATCAATAATATTAGTTACGCACGAGGCTGCAGCAGCGTAAATGTTATCAATAATATTAGTTACGCACGAGGCTGCAGCAGCGTAAATGTTATCAATAATATTAGTTACGCACGAGGCTGCAGCAGCTTAAATGTTATCAATAATATTAGTTACGCACGAGGCTGCCACAGCGTAAATGTTATCAATAATATTAGTTACGCACGAGGCTGCAGCAGCGTAAATGTTATCAATAATATTAGTTACGCACGAGGCTGCAGCAGCGTAAATGTTATCAATAATATTAGTTACGCACGAGGCTGCAGCAGCGTAAATGTTATCAATAATATTAGTTACGCACGAGGCTGCAGCAGCGTAAATGTTATCAATAATATTAGTTACGCACGAGGCTGCAGCAGCGTAAATGTTATCAATAATATTAGTTACGCACGAGGCTGCAGCAGCGTAAATGTTATCAATAATATTAGTTACGCAAGAGGCTGCAGCAGCGTAAATGTTATCAATAATATTAGTTACGCACGAGGCTGCAGCATCGTAAATGAACGATGCTTCACTAACTACATACTTGGTGATTATTCAACATTCGTCAGGATAAATATTGCAGGCCTTCCTACTGTACGCCACAGTCCCATACTGAGTCTGTAATTAAATGTTAATTATCAAACACAAACTTGTACTTACATGACCTCACTCTTCTGTGAACAGACAACCACTTCTTCATCCTTGATTGTACATTGTGCTGGAAATAAACAAGTAATGTAAAACAAACGAAATAAGTCCTCCATGCCAGATCGTGTGTAGAATTATCTTCTAAATAACAAATACTAAACTATTATTCCTGCAACTGTATATTTTCTAAAGCAGTGGTTTGAAAATTATTTCTGGTCATTACTTCTTTTTCATATATTGTCCTTATTAATGGCCGCCCGCTACACTCAGTACAGGTCCCCTCTGGGACCATAACCTGAACACTGCCTCAACCTATGGCCCGCTACACTCAGTACAGGTCCCCTCTGGTACCATAACCTGTACACTGCCTCAACCTATGGCCCCTACACTCAGTACAGGTCCCCTCTGGTACCATAACCTGTACACTGCCTCAACCTATGGCCCCCTACACTCAGTACAGGTCCCCTCTGGTACCATAACCTGTACACTGCCTCAACCTATGACCCCTACACTCAGTACAGGTCCCCTCTGGTACCATAACCTGTACACTGCCTCAACCTATGGCCCCTACACTCAGTACAGGTCCCCTCTGGTACCATAACCTGTACACTGCCTCAACCTATGGCCCCTACACTCAGTACAGGTCCCCTCTGGTACCATAACCTGTACACTGCCTCAACCTATGGCCCCCTACACTCAGTACAGGTCCCCTCTGGTACCATAACCTGTACACTGCCTCAACCTATGCCCCCCTACACTCAGTACAGGTCCCCTCTGGTACCATAACCTGTACACTGCCTCAACCTTTGACCCCTACACTCAGTACAGGTCCCCTCTGGTACCATAACCTGTACACTGCCTCAACCTATGGCCCCTACACTCAGTACAGGTCCCCTCTGGTACCATAACCTGTACACTGCCTCAACCTATGGCCCCTACACTCAGTACAGGTCCCCTCTGGTACCATAACCTGTACACTGCCTCAACCTATGGCCCCTACACTCAGTACAGGTCCCCTCTGGTACCATAACCTGTACACTGCCTCAACCTATGGCCCCTACACTCAGTACAGGTCCCCTCTGGTACCATAACCTGTACACTGCCTCAACCTATGGCCCTTACACTCAGTACAGGTCCCCTCGTACCATAACCTGTACACTGACTCAACCTATGGCCCCTACACTCAGTACAGGTCCCCTCTGGTACCATAACCTGTACACTGCCTCAACCTATGGCCCCTACACTCAGTACAGGTCCCCTCTGGTACCATAACCTGTACACTGCCTCATCCTATGGCCCCTACACTCAGTACAGGTCCCCTCTGGTACCATAACCTGTACACTGACTCAACCTATGCCCCCTACACTCAGTACAGGTCCCCTCTGGTACCATAACCTGAACACTGCCTCAACCTATGGCCCCTACACTCAGTACAGGTCCCCTCTGGTGCCATAACCTGTACACTGACTCAACCTATGCCCCCTACACTCAGTACAGGTACCCTCTGGTACCATAACCTGAACACTGCCTCAACCTATGGCCCCTACACTCAGTACAGGTCCCCTCTGGTGCCATAACCTGTACACTGACTCAACCTATGGCCCCTACACTCAGTACAGGTCCCCTCTGGTACCATAACCTGTACACTGCCTCAACCTTTGACCCCTACATATAGCAAAAAGGCCCCCCCCCCCAGGGGACTATGGCCTCCAGTCTGGAAACCAGTGTTCTTGAGAAATTAATGGTTCCAAAAATATAAAAATATTTATTTTGAGTAAACAGAACACTATTCTGTTACAGTATGTACTGTATAATTCTCAATGTAATATTATATTTGTCATTGATCAGTTGTCTTTGTCAGCATAATGAACTTTAAATTATTACTAATCATTAACTACAGATGAGTTAAATATATGTATATAATACAAACTTTTTATCTCGTCTAGTGCTGAGTGAAACATCATATAAACAGTCTTCATTCCTCCCACGGAAGCACAATCAAAGTCATGCTTCTCCAAGTCTTCTAAGATCCTGCCACAGCTGCGCATCTGAGGAAAAATTAAATTCTTAGAAACGCAGGTTTAGGGAAGTTAAAACTTAATCAATTCCAAGACAAAGACTCGTTAACTGTCATGTTATTGTCCGCTTATCTGTTATGCAGCATAACGTATGTAAATACTTTCAACTTAAAAACAAAACGAAGTATAAAGCGCCTTCGAAAACTTTCACTTTCTTAACATTTTGCAGGATTATCCCCCTCCTAAATAAGCTGTATGTAACCAAGCTACAGAAACTACAGTATTAAAGATAAGACGGTGCTTTTGACTAAAATATTTACCATTGGAAGGCGTTTTCAGACAACACCTTCAACCTGAGCAATAAATGTATGCAATTCATATTATCATGGATGCAGCAAGCATATCACAGTAAATGATACACTAGTATCTAATCCCATATTTATTATTTGCCCAATCTTGGCAGAGTAAAGTTTCTTGTGTGTGTACATTATATATACATATACATATATATATATATATATATACAATATATATATATATATATATTTTTTTTTTTTTTTTTTTAAATATAGAGAAGGGGTACCACCTCTGCTGCAAGTGTAGGGACCCATAGCCTCGGAGAAGAAAATAAAGAGTACTCAGAGAAGACCTTGTGGATCCTCACTGAACACTTTGATATTTTCTTCTCCTACCACCCCTATTCTTTTGGTATGTGTGTATATTTATCTAACTTTATTTGAAAATGTCATTACACAAAAAAAGTTACAATATTGATTACATGCAGGGTGCAAGGCTGCTTGTCACAAGTTGTGTGTGTATATATATATATATATATATATATATATATATATATATATATATATATATATATATATATATATATATATATATATATATATATATATATATATATGTCGTACCTAGTAGCCAGAACGCACTTTTTGGCCTACTATTCAAGGCCCGATTTGCCTAATAAGCCAAGTTTTCCTGAATCAATATATATTCTCTAATTTTTTTCTTATGAAATGATAAATCTACCCTTTTCATTATGTATGAGGTCAATTTTTCTTTATTGGAATTAAAATTAACGTAGATATTTGACCGAACCTAACCAACCCTACCTAACCTAACCTAACCTATCTTTATAGGTTAGGTTAGGTTAGGTAGCCGAAAAAGTTAGGTTAGGTTAGGTAGGTTAGGTAGTCGAAAAACAATTAATTCATGAAAACTTGGCTTATTAGGCAAATCGGGCCTTGCATAGTAGGCTGAGAAGTGCGTTCTGGCTACTAGGTACGACATATATATATATATATATATATATATATATATATATATATATATATATATATATATATATATATATATATATATATATATATATATCGTACCTAGTAGCCAGAACGCACTTTTCGGCCTACTATGCAAGGTCCGGTTTGCCTAATAGGCCGAGTGATTTTCTTTATTTTCAATAAATTGTTTCTAGTTAGTTTATTTGAATTATTAGTACTATATTATATGAAGAAGATAAATTATTGACTTAGTTGAGTTAAGGTTAGGTTAAGATAGCTTAGGTTCGGTCATATATCTACGTTAATTTTAACTCATATATAAACAAATTAACTCATACATAATGAAATGGATAGCTTTATCATTTCATAAGAAAAAAAACAGAAAAAATATATAAATTCAGGAAAACTTGGCTTATTAGGCATACCGGGCCTTGCGCAAATTAATACCCAGACTCCCATCATATATTTCAATACCCAGACTCCAAGCATATATTTCAATACCCAAACTCCCAGCATATATTTCAATACCCAAACTCCCAGCATATATTTCAATACCCAAACTCCTAGCATATATTTCAATACCCAAACTCCAAGCATATATTTCAACACCCAGACTCCCAGCATATATTTCAATACCCAAACTCCCAGCATATATTTCAATACCCAAACTCCCAGCATATATTTCAATACCCAAACTCCCAGCATATATTTCAATACCCAAACTCCCAGCATATATTTCAATACCCAGACTCCAAGCATATATTTCAATACCCAAACTCCCAGCATATATTTCAATACCCAAACTCCCAGCATATATTTCAATACCCAAACTCCCAGCATATATTTCAATACCCAGACTCCAAGCATATATTTCAATACCCAAACTCCCAGCATATATTTCAATACCCAAACTCCCAGCATATATTTCAATACCCAAACTCCCAGCATATATTTCAATACCCAGACTCCAAGCATATATTTCAATACCCAAACTCCCAGCATATATTTCAACACCCAGACTCCCAGCATATATTTCAATATCCAAACTCCCAGCATATATTTCAATACCCAGACTCCAAGCATATATTTCAATACCCAAACTCCCAGCATATATTTCAACACCCAGACTCCCAGCATATATTTCAACACCCAGACTTCCAGCATATATTTCAATACCCAGACTCCAAGCATATATTTCAATACCCAAACTCCCAGCATATATTTCAATTCCCAAACTCCCAGCATATATTTCAATACCCAGACTCCCAGCATATCTTTCAATACCCAGACTCCCAGCATATATTTCAATACCCAGACTCCCAGCATATATTTCAATACCCAAACTCCCAGCATATATTTCAATACCCAGACTCCCAGCATATATTTCAATACCCAGACTCCCAGCATATATTTCAATACCCAGACTCCCAGCATATATTTCAATACCCAGACTCCCACGATACCGATCAATATCCAGACTCCCATTATGTAAATCAACACCCCGGCTCCCATTATACAGTATATATCATGATGAATATAAATTGAGACTTACATTATGAAACTTGAGTAGTGAGAAGATTGATGAAGACTGTAAATTGAGACTTACAATGATGAAGACTGTAAATTGAGACTTACAGTGATGAAAACTGGGTAGTGAGGCTTACAGTGATGAAGACTGTAGGGTGAGAATTAAACTGATGAAGATTGCAAAGTGAGACTTACACTGATGACAGTAAAGTAAGTACAATTATAAAGATTGTTAAGTGAGACTTACAATGATGATTGTGTAGTTACACTTACATGCTGAAGACTGTAAAGTGAGACATACAATGATGAAGAATGTGAAGTAAGACTTACAATGATGAATGTGTAGCGAGACTTACAGCGATGAAGATTGTGTAGTGTGACTTACAATGAGGAAGTTTGTTAAGTGCGACTTACAATGACTATAAAGTGAGGCTTACAATGAAGATTGTAAAGTTACTTACAATGAAGAATGTGTAGTAAGACTTACAATAATGAATATTGAGTAGTGAGACTTACAATGATGAAGACTGTAAATGACTTACAATGACAAAGACTGTAATGTGATACTTACAATGATGAAAAATGTGAAGTGAGACTTACAATGATGCAGATTGTAAAGTGATACAATGATGAAAATTGTAAAGTGATACTTACAATGATGAAAATTGTATAGTGACACTTACAATGATGTATATTGAAGAGTGAGACTTACAATGATGAATACTGTAAAGTGAGACTTACAATGATGAAGATTGTGTAGTGCAACTTAAAGTAATCTACAATGATGAAAATTGTGTAGTGAGACTTACATTGTAAAGTGGGACACAATGATGAATGTAAAGTGAGTCGCAGATTGAAAAGTGAGACTTACAATGATGAACATTGAGTGATGAGACACGATGAAGACTGTAAAGTGAGACTTACAATGAAGATTGTCAAGTGAGACTTACAAATGAAGATTATCAAGTGAGACTTACAATACGATGAAGAATGTGTAGACTTACAATGATGAAGATTGTGTAGTGAGACTTACAATGATGGAGATTGTAAAATGACTTATAATGAACATTGTAAACTTAAATAATGAAGAATGTAAATTGAGGCTTACAATGATAAAGATTGTAAAATGAGACTTACAATGAAGAATCTGTAGTGAAACTTACAATGAAGAATCTGTAGTGAAACTTACAATGAAGAATCTGTAGTGAAACTTACACTGATGAAGATTATAAAGTTAGACTAACAATGATAAAGATTGTGTAGTGAGACTTACAACGATCAAGATTGTAGAGTGGTACTTACAATAATGAAGATTGTGTGCTGAGACTTACAATGATGTAGTGTGTGAAATGAGACTTGCAATGATGATTGTAAAGTGAGACTTACAGTGATGATTGTTAAGCGAGACTTACAATGATTTTATTTTGCAGGGATATTCCTACGCGGGCCCTAAGCCTCTGGCTGGCCCACTAAGTGTTGCTTGTTTCTGTTTTACTTGGGCAGAGTATGAGTATTTATGACTCGTATGGTCGCTTCAGTAAGATTTTGTCCCATGTATTTAACAACTTCTGCTCTGTTGAATCTAAGTTGACATCTTAATGAGTTTGTAACTGTGCACTGTGTTAGATAATGTTCCAGTGGTCTGTTGTGGCTGTAACTGTGCACTGTGATAGATAATGTTCCAGTGGTCTGTTGTGGCTGTAACTATGCACTGTGATAGATAATGTTCCAGTGGTCTGTTGTGGTTGTAACTGTGCACTGTGTTAGATAATGTTCCAGTGGTCTGTTGTGGCTGTAACTGTGCACTGGGATAAATAATGTTCCAGTGGTCTGTTGTGGTTATAACTGTGCACTGTGTTAGATAATGTTCCAGTGGTCTGTTGTGGCTGTAACTGTGCACTGTGATAGATAATGTTCCAGTGGTCTGTTGTGGCTGTAACTGTGCACTGTGTTAGATAATGTTCCAGTGGTCTGTTGTGGCTGTAACTGTGCACTGTGTTAGATAATGTTCCAGTGGTCTGTTGTGGCTAACTGTGCACTGTGTTAGATAATGTTCCTGTGGTCTGTTGTGGTTGTAACTGTGCACTGTGTTAGATAATGTTCCAGTGGTCTGTTGTGGCTGTAACTGTGCACTGGGATAAATAATGTTCCAGTGGTCTGTTGTGGTTATAACTGTGCACTGTGTTAGATAATGTTCCAGTGGTCTGTTGTGGC